CAGCCTTAGGCGGAAGAGGTTGCGCCTCCAGGTAATCCACCAGGATGCGCAGCAAGGCAAAATTGTGCTGCGACACTGTTTGGCGGTATTGCTGCAGTGCGATTGCAATCTTGGAGCGTCGCTCTTCATCCATACTGATGTGGTCACTTTGCCACTTCGAAGTGGTGGAATCACTGAGTGTGTGCTGGAGAAGATCCAAGCATGTGTGAATGATGGGAACAAGTTCAGCTGGAATTGGAGAAAATGCCTCCCCCTCTATTTTGTCAAGTCTTGACATAACACCTTAACCTACCTTACCTGTTGGTAGGTAACTCTCCATCACGTGTGAGGAGATGACTTATGCCTAAGGTAGGTAAGCTACATATACCTACCCTACGTCAGTGAGGAAGTTAACGCCGGTAAGAATTACATGAAGAGCATGCTGCCCCGTGAATAGACTGACGAATGGCAGCAGTATCATATGTCTCGGTCTTTGAAATGCATCTCCTCTGTATCAAACAGCTGCATCTCACTTTATACTATCCAGGTTGACTTTCTGTGGACATCAAAGCTCCCCCCAGCAGCCTTCTACGCATATAAATTCAACAAAATATAGTATTCCCATAAAATTTCATAAAGCTGCTATTCTACCTACCGTTTAGAGACCGATCTGAAACAAACTGTGTCCGAGAGCAGCAGCATCTAGATGTATACAACTACCTTAACTAAGAGAGCTATACAATTTCCCCATGAGTTACCTCGGTTCCACCCCCCGGCTCTCTAGCGTCTTTGAAACGACTGTTTGTTCAAGGCAGACCTGTAGAAATAGATCTTGGTGAAGATCTATAAGTGCTGTGCAGGGCTAGATCAACTCTCCTGGTCACTACAGACGTATAGGAAGTCCGCAGAATCCCTGTGCTGTTTACAAACACTTGGGAGAAAGTGACCAGTTCAAGAGGTCTTGCATGGAGGGCATCTGCATCAGGCTGGATGCCGCATTGGAGAGAGACCAAGGGTTTGAGGCCGAAATTAGAGGCGCTGTACTTATGGCAGCCCTCACCTGGGTCGTATGCCTGCGCGTCTCTGTTATTCGAACATGTATCAGTATCGTACCCTGTGCACACGCGACCAATGATAAACTATGAGAGCGGCCGGGTGAGGTTGCTCATGCCGCAACCACTCTCATCAAGGGCACCATTGGCGAACCACAGAAACAAGCCCCCGGTGCTTGTGTAGATACAAAACGTCGTCGAATCATGGAGGGGCCATCTTCAGTGTTTATATCTTACCTTGGGATAGGCCAGACCTACCTCTTGCCTCCATGGACGATCAGAAATAGTTATTAGGATTTTCTTCCCTGACAATTAGCCTAAATATACTCTCTTAGTTATTATTATGCCTAATTGAAGACTTAATCACAGCATATTTCGTTGGCTGGCAGATTGAAGACTCATTGTAGTGGCAGATCCTTACATTCTCTGCCCATTTCTCAGGCTCATGACAGAACTCCACCAAACCCTGCCTAACCGGATCTACTCCTCTTAAACGGAGTCTAAGGCACACCAGTACCAGAGTAGATTGACCCAATCAGCAGCAGAGTCCAACTCTGATCGGATGTAGCTTGCCGATTTGCCAGACGAGCTGACGCCATCTACAACTCCATTGTCAACTTCACGGATCCAAACTTAGAAGAAGGCCCTCTAGATTGTTCTTTTCCTTTCTTCCATAATGAGAAACAAGAATCTTTAAACTTCAGCGAACAAATCAGCGATTCATCCCTCGGACAAAGGGAGCTCACTGTGCATTTGGAGAGCGGATGCCGCGTTGAACGGCTTCCCAGTAACCGGAGCAGAGTAACTCACGCCAATGGCAAGAGAAGAATACTGCAGAGACTTGAAGAGATTTCTAAACACCGGCAAGTCTTCGTACTCTATCGAAGTCTCGCCTTACGTACTTGATCTGCTGTCTTTCGTGTCCGGTCAACATATACTCGCACACATTAGCCCCAGCAGAACATGTCGTCGGCATAAAAGGCCAATTCAGATCGCAGATAACAAAATGCTACCAGCATCTGTCTAGTTGTGGAGATATGAAGGGGTATTTCAGGCTTTCTTTGTGGGAATAAAGAGAGAAAGAGAGACTTACAGGAGCTCTAGGCTTCGTAGCCCCTGCGTTCTTAGTTCGCAATGCCGTGAAAGCAGCTACATCTACCAAGACACTCGTGCATCGTCTATTTTATTTGTTACATGCTGGGAATTTCCGGGACATTGTTTAAGGATGACTAGGTTCAGCCGTTAAAGAATGGAAGGCCATGGCTTGTCCCTCTGTGGCAAGTCATTGCACTCCAAGGCCTTCTCCTGTACTAGTCCTACAATTCTGCAGCAAATGGCCTCAAGCAACTACGTAAAACTCCATGAGATTGCAGATGCGGCCCACTGGAATACAACATCCTCCGCAAGTCCGACATGAAGCCCCTTGACTTGATTGGCAGGCTAAATGCGACATCTTAGCCGGATGCACCCCAGATCTGGGGAACGCGCCGCTTGAGGCCCGAAGCGCCGGGTTCGATGCATTACTGCCATATTTCAGCAGTTAACTAGGACCGGCTTGTGTCGATATTGCGGGTGGCGTTCAATCTATTCCGGCACTCCTATGCCGTTTGATCCGATACCTGGAGGGCGTGCTTTAGGCAAAATGCCAAGCTTCGAGGATACTGTACGAGCCGCTTTCAACCTCACTTGATGATGTCTGAGTTTCATCAAGAGAATTGAAGTCAAAGCTCAAATCATGATGTGAAGAGGTTTTGAATGTGGAAGAATTCTGCATATATAAAGCCATGGAAGAAGACGTAAAACTGAGACAGCAAGCTCAACTGCATAGTATCGACTTCAAGGAAAACACGCACAAATAATCATCATGGTTGCCTTTTCCAGCCTCATCTGCGCTCTCACCAGCATCGCCAGTACTCTGGCGATGCCCACAGGCCTCGAGCCTGAGAGCAGTGTCAACGTCACAGAGCGTGGCATGTACGACTTTGTTCTTGGAGCTCACAATGATCATCGCCGTCGTGCTAGCATCAACTACGACCAAAACTACCAAACTGGCGGACAAGTCAGCTATTCGCCTTCCAACACTGGCTTCTCAGTGAACTGGAACACTCAAGATGACTTTGTTGTGGGCGTTGGTTGGACGACTGGATCTTCTGCGTAGGAGGACTCCTCATCATTCTGCACTTTGAAAGCATCTTCTGACCAAAAGCTTCTCTTAGTCCCATCAACTTTGGCGGCTCTTTTAGTGTCAACAGCGGAACTGGCCTGCTTTCCGTCTATGGCTGGAGCACCAACCCACTGGTTGAGTACTACATCATGGAGGACAACCACAACTACCCAGCACAGGGTACCGTCAAGGGAACCGTCACCAGCGACGGAGCCACTTACACCATCTGGGAGAATACCCGTGTCAACGAGCCTTCCATCCAGGGCACAGCGACCTTCAACCAGTACATTTCCGTGCGGAACTCGCCCAGGACCAGCGGAACTGTTACTGTGCAGAACCACTTCAATGCTTGGGCCTCGCTTGGCCTGCACCTTGGGCAGATGAACTACCAGGTTGTCGCTGTCGAAGGCTGGGGTGGTAGTGGTTCTGCCTCACAGAGTGTCAGCAACTAGGTTCTGTTGATGTTGACTTGGAGTGGATGAGGGGTTTGAGCTGGTATGTAGTATTGGGGTGGTTAGTGAGTTAACTTGACAGACTGCACTTTGGCAACAGAGCCGACGATTAAGAGATTGCTGTCATGTAACTAAAGTAGCCTGCCTTTGACGCTGTATGCTCATGATACATGCGTGACATCGAAATATATCAGCCAAAGTATCCGTCCGGCGACATGCCCATCAACTATATTGAAGTCAGAAACACACTGTCCCTCTTCCCTCCTATGCTTTTACAAGCTGCTCCTCTATCCGCCCCCACAGTCCCTTGTTCATATACCCCGAAAGCCAAAAGTTTCCATCCTTGTCCTTGCCCATGATCGGGAAGCCGTTTGGTAGCACGATACCCCACTGATTATTCTGTATATAGATCGGTGAACCCGATTTCCCACCCTCCCTACTGGGCTGAAGCACAGCTGCAGAAAAGTCCAAGTCGAACAGCTTTGCCTTGCCCCAATTTGACAACGTAATCATGTGCATGTTGCCGTTGCCGAAGAAAGGCGGAATCCTCCCGCTAGATCCTCGCCACATAGCGAAAAAGGCTTCTACCTGAGACCGAGTTCCCAGTTCTTGAATCGCGGTTCGAGTAGCAGCAGCAATATAACTCAGCGGCTTCTCAAATATGTGGTGCACCGGCAGTAGCACGTTGATGAAGCCGGTACCGTTGGAGACATATGGCACCCCTTTCGGCAGCAGATCCGTCTCTAGACACTTTCGTAGAGAGTATGCGTTGTTGATGACAACCGTCCTCTGGCTATTCGCTGGCAGATGTGAAGTGGCAACTTTGATCCACCAGGCGCAGAGAACATCGCCTTCAGTCAAGAAAGTGTTTTCTGCGCCCTCGGACTCAAGCTCACTGATTGCCTCTTTGCGAAGGTTCTCAATGAAAGATCCAGGAACACAAAGCATGCGATTCTCTTGCGCTCGGAAGAGATCGAGGACATTGTTGATCCCATACTGGGCCAGCCCAAACATTGACAAGCGCCGAGATGCCAGCTTGTGAGGCTCTGTGGGATATTTCCCAAGATCTGCTAATGGGTCGCCGTCGCGGCCTTGTGGAGCAACAATATCGTCTTCTCGACCTTGAAGCATCAAGGTCCACGCGTCTAGCAAAGCCTTTTTGCCCAGAGCATCCATCAATGTATGCGGCCAGTATATCACCACAAACGTTTTGTCACGGAAAGAAATGATATAAAGCCCCAGCTGGGGGATGTCTCGGTTCAGATAGTCGTCTATGCTGACCGGGCCGCTATCGGGATAAAGTAGTCCGCGGAAATCGTCAGGATCGCATACGACAGCTGGCTTGGAGCTCGGAGCGGGAATCTTGGACGCAACTGGGTGATCTGCAGCATCCATATCGTAGGCCATATGAGTATATGAAAGAGCTCGGCGCTCCTCTGTGAATTCGGCCGGTATATGGTATTCAAGATTTCCTTGGGCCTGCAAACACTATTAGTCTCTTTTCGCCTGGCGGTCTTATTTGGACTTACATCCTTTCGCATTCGAGCCCCGAGCCTTGTCCAGCCATCGCGTTTCGCTAACCTCTCGAGGCTGTTGCGAAGCTTCTCGGGGCTCAACACATCGTCAAATACAAACATGGAATACAGAATGATTGTCCTCCATAGCGGCGTATCGTCGAAGAAGCGAAAGGGGATCACAGTGTCCGTTGGCACTTTGGCTGGCGGAACCTGCCTGCGGAACATTTTGGATGAATTTACACTCTTTCTTCACTTCCGCGAGGTCCTGAATAAGGGATCAGGATTGCGACTAGTAGCTTGAGCTTTCAGATATTATGAACCACGAAGAGAAGGACAACATCCAGGGTCGGCGGTCTGTTTTATATCATCGAAGGATTGGAAGGATCTCAATTATCTGGGTCAACCTGCATCAAGACGGGAGCGCTGCCCACTTTAAGTATACATAATGCCCTGGTCATAGTAGCATTCGCTAGATGCAATGAAACCCGTCGACCGGTTGCAACCTTTCCAGAGTATCACTCGCCAGTTTCGCTGCTTGGTCTTGATACTAGGAGGGGCGAATACGAAGACCAGCCCAGCGGTGTCGGACCAAATGTTCCCTCGTGCGGACAAGCCAGGGTATGCATATGTCCGCAGCTCAGCTGCAGGAATCTTGTGACAAGTTAACCTTGCGATTAGGTGAGGAATGACATGTCTATAGATGAAGTGTGAGGGTTGTTGAGAGAGCCAACGAATACCGTAATTCCGGCCGTGAGGTTGACACAATATCATGTCATTTCCTGCCAAGATACTCACTCCGTGCATGGTCTCAACAGCGATGGATTAGCAGTGATACACCCGGGAAGCGAAGATACTATTCAACTATTCTTTGGTTCTTCAGCTCGTCCGGTTCTGAGTCGAAGTTGGCCTGGGGAGTGGTATAAGCGAACTCCTGAACTAGAGGCATTACCTTGGCAGCATGCTCGACAAACGTGCCTCTACCAAGACTATAAAGATGCTTAATCGTATTCAGAGCCAATCATGATCAAGGCAGCTGATTCCAGCATCGAAGCGGTTCGCATTGCTCCACAACTCGCTTTAGCCCAGAGGATGCTAGTAAGACGGTTGTTTTTCTGTCATTTGTCAATCCAAAAGGATCCTTGCCTCAGAACCGGAGGTAAGCAAGGGTCAACCAACGGGCTGCTGTTAATCACGGCATGTCTGCTTTTTCCACATGCCTCTCCACGCGGCAACCTAGCATTCCGTGCTCTGTAATCGTCCATATACCTGGCAAAGCAACCCCCTGAAGACATCGGAGTTAAGTATTGCCCCGCACCCGTGAGGTCTCCAACAGCTCGGAGTTCCCCGATTACTGCGTATATCTGACAGCTGTTGATCTGTTGATCTGTTGACGAAAGTCGAGCCTATCACATGCTTGAATTCAGGGCTCTAGTATCAGCCGCACTGTCCATGAGATAGCAGAAGTACATCAGGAGAAGGTACGCTTTGAACGCCTGGCAACTTTCACGGCATACTCGCATGCCTCTTACTAACCCACGGTTCCAGTTAACTGCACATGAGGTAGAAACAACTCCTGCATTTTTACTTACCTGGATATGTACCTAGTACCCATTAGTTCCACCCTTTATAACTAACTATTCAGACCTAGCCTTACAGTTAGGCCTAAAAACCCTATTCTACCCTAAAAATTATTCCATACTGCCGCTCGTTTAATAACACACCTATTTTATATATAAATATAAATAATAATATATAATTATCTATCTTAAAATATTAAAAAATTAATAATAGATTTTATAAATAAACTCCTTATTACTTTTAAAGCAGCTGCTGCTATTTTATAAAATTATAATTACTTTTATTATAGCTATAAGCCTTTATTTATTTACACTACTGCTATTAAATTTAATATAAGCTATACTACTATATAATATATAATTTCCTTCTTAAAGGCACTTAATCCTATCCCTTAATAGCTTAACTAGCTATAATTACTTATAAATAAAAAAGATAAGGCCTTAGTAATATATACTATATAGCTTTAAAAAAAAGGCTTTTTAATAACTAAGATCTAGCTTATTATTATTATTAATAATCTTTAGTATTAATAAAACCCTTAAATACTAAATCTCTTAAAAAATTAATATAATTAATAGCTTTTAAATTATTTAAAGCTTTAAAAGTTATTTATTAAGGCTATTAATAAGGCCTAGAAGTTATTTAAAGTATTAAACCTTAAGAATTTTATAATCTTTTTTTAAAATTTAAAAGATTTATAATAAACCAGGTTCTTATAGTTAGTAAAAATACTATTTCCTAAAGGATAAACTATTTAAATAAATAGCTTAAGTAAGGGAGCTATTTAGGTTTATATTAGTAAAGAGTTAAGTTAATACTTAAGGCATATTTAATTATACAGCTAGTTAATACACTTTTATAATAAATATCTAGGTTTTAATTTATTTATATTATAAATATTATAAAATAATAATAACTAGCTATTTAAACTATTTAAATAAGTAATATAAATATAACTTATATATTTAGTTATTTTAATATTCTTAATATACTTAATTATTAAGTTTATTAAGTTATCTTTAATATACTTAATAGTTAATTTTATTAAGTAGCTCTTAATTAGCTAAATAGTTTAATATTTATTTAATACTGCTTATTAAAGGTAGCCTATTATTATAATTATAAAGCTAGGTTATAATATAATATCCCTTTTTTATTAATTTTATTTTTAAAACCTTATTTATACTATTAAAACTTATAATTCCCTTACTTTTTTATAAGTATTTCTTATTTATATATTCTTTTCTTTATATACTAATTAAAATAGTTAGTAGTAAGTATAAATATTTTAAGTTTTTTTAAATATCTTAGTAGTATTATTATAACCTAGCCTTATAGTTATAATAATAGGCCACCCTTAGTAAGCAGCACTAAATAAATATTAAACTATTTAGCTAATTAAAAGCTACTTAATAAAATTAACTATTAAGTATATTAAAAATAACTTAATAAACTTAATAATTAAGTATATTAAGGATATTAAAATAACTAAATATATAAATTATATTTATATTACTTATTTAAATAATTTAAATAGCTAGTTATTATTACTTTATAGTATTTATAATATAAATAAATTAAAATCTAAATATTTATTATAAAAGTATATTAATTAGCTATATAACTATATATACTTTAAGTATTAACTTAACTCTCTGCTAATATAAACTTAAATAGCCCTTTTATTAAAGCTATTTACTTAAATAGTTTATTCTTTAAGAAATAGTATTTTTACTAACTATAAGAACTTAGTTTATTATATAATAATAACTCTTATTTAAAAAGTTACCTTAAACTTTTAAAGTAATATTAATTAAGGAAGTGTTACTTTAAAATAAAAATAAGTAACTATAATAAGTTAATATAGCAACTTTAAGAAATATAAAATTTAATAATACTACTTAAAATATAGTAAAAAATATACTATTTTAATAACTTATAACTTTTAAAAACTTAATTTAATAATTAACTTAAGAATAAGCTTAATAGCAGGATATAATTATAGCCTTAAAAGCTTAACTAAATTAATAAGTACTACTAGTTATTAATATACTAGCTTTATATTAAGAGAAATAACTTAAAAAGATTATTAAGCTACTAATACTAGCTATATATAATAAAAATATAAAAAAGACTAAAGCATTTTTTATAAATATAAAAATATATTTTAAGTACTTTTTTATAACTATTTTAATAAATAAAATAAAGGTATAAATTACTGCTTTTTAACTAGAAAAAGCTATTAAAAACTAGTTTAAACCTTACTAATAGGATTTTAAAGCTATTATTAATAATATTAATATATATAAAGTAAATATTATAGTAATATATAATAGCTATAAGCACTTTAAATAATAAGTTAAGGATATTTTTAAAGCTATAAATAAAAAAAAAGAAGTAAAAAATTAGCTCCTTAACCTTAAGTAAAAAGGGTTATACTTAAAGTTTACTACAGAATTTATTTAAATTAGCACTAAAATAAATATAAATAATATATTAAAAAGAGTCTTTTACTATTAAAGGCTAAAATTTAAAGTAAAGAATAAACTTATATAAAATAAACTCTTTAAAATATTTAAAGCTTTTTTTAAAAAAGCTATTTAAATTAATAATTAATTATATAAATAATAAAAAGAATAAAGTATAAAAAAATATAGTAATTAAAAAATATTTTAATAAAAAAATATAGTAAATTATAAGAAAAAGTATAACTTTATAATATATAATAATAAAAAACCTAAACTAATAAACCTTAATACTATTAACTAAAAGAAATAAAATAAATAAAATATTAAATACTATAATTATAAAAAAAAGGGATATATTAAAAAATACTACTATAGCCTTAAAAAGAATAATAATAAAAAATAGTTACTTATTTTAAAACTATAAAATAAGAAGAATATTAATATAATAATACTTATTATAAATTATAAATATTTTAGCTAAATAGTATATTATAATAATATATATAAAATCTACTTTAATAATAAAAAAGGATTAGGTTATTTTTTAAAAAAAACCTAAAAATAAAAAAAGTATTAATACTTTTATTACTTAGCTAATAAATAAGAAATTTAAAAATAATAAAGTTTTAAACTTTAATATAATTAAAACTAAGGATATTTATATTTATTATAAATATAAAGAATTTACTAAATAAGAATAATTTAAATAATAAATAAAAAAAGGACCTTATAAAGGATATAAATTATAAAATCTTAATAATATAAAATATAACTGCAGGTATTAATTTAATACTTTTAAATTAAAAATCTCCTTTAAGACTCTGCTTTACCTTTTAATTAATAAGATTATAAAATATAATAAATCCTTAGCATATAGTAAATTAACTAAAAGAGGATTTATAAAAAAGATCCTTATATAAAAGAATATTAATAAAATAATATAAAAAAATATTAATATATATAAAAATCCTAGAAGAGGACTAATAAAGGTTATAATTAACCTTTAAGATATATAAATACTAAGGCTATACTATATACTTATAATAGTATAATAATTTTTAAAATAAAAATAGACTTAGCTTAAACTTAACCTATTTATTAAAGATTATAAAAAGACTAATATATTAAACTATAATAAGTACTATTATAAAATATATTTAAAATATAAGGTTATAATAT